GATGATTACTAAGGTTATGTTTGTAGACTTTAAGTTATATAGCAAACAGTATCAATAAAGTGTCAACACACTCTTGAGGATTTCATTCCCTTTCTGCACTTGAATCATCCCTACAAAAGAGGGAGAATCACAAAACTGAAAAATAAATAAAGTTTGATAAACCTTTGCATATGACTATAACATATATGGCTTTATATCTGAATAAAGGCCAATGTCCTTCAAAATTGGATTTTCTCCAACTGATTTGATTATTCCTTACCCATCTTTGTTACTCATTTTTTAATACATTTTAAAAAGCATAAAACACATGATTTCTCCAGGACTGCATTAAAGAAGCAACTAAGTTATAGTTTTCTCTTTCACCATCACAGTGTGCATGATTATACTGATGCATAATTGTGATATTAAAATAAAGCAACAAAAAGGGCATGATTCATTAACTACTAACTTTTAAACAGAGCATCACTAGGCTTCATTGCAGTGTACTGTCTTGAGCTTGACTTATAATTTAGTGACTTTGAGAGTGGCAATTAAGTGCCTATAAATGATGAAGCATATTCTTATGAAAAAAAAAAAAAAAAACACAACCACCCAGTAGTTGTTTGCCTTGTGCTTCCAGATATTTAAACCAAGACTCTATGGTCTAACTCAGGATTCTTCATCTTTGACCCTATCAGCATTTTAGATGACATATCTTTGTTTTGGGGGAATCCTGTATATTGTAAAGGTTTAGCAGCATCCCTAACCTCTATCCACTAGATGCCAGTAGCATCCATCCCACCCTCCCCAACCGGTGTGACAACTGATATGTGTCTCTCTGGATATTGTAAAATATCATCTGGAACACAAATTGCCCCACTGGAGAACCACTCATCTAATTGTTCTTTTTTTTAATTTAAGAAAAACATTTGGGCACAGCAGACCTCTCCTGTCTCGCCTGCTGCTCCCCTCAGCAGTGTATTTCAATCAATTGGCCTGTTCTGCTCCTCTGTCTCTGGTGAATCCTCTCACCCCCTGCACCTCTGGCCTGAACCCCAGTTCTTGTATGCATAAACAAATCTTAAAAAAAAAAAAAAGAAACCCTTTCCCTTACCCATCCAGTTCTGCTGCCTCTGGTCTTTATCATTAAAAAGTCTTAGGATAGATAACTAGTGACAGACAAAGTAAAATTCATTTATTTGTTATCAGTGGATAAATACTAGATTATACTCTTGAGAAGATAAAATTGGATAATTTCTAATGCTAAGTTGGTACATTATCAGCAGCCAGTGATGCTTATTAAATATGAAGAGATGTGTCTAGTGGCAGTTGAACTGATTTAATGCCTGGTAAATGTGTATCACATCTTGGATGTACTGTCAGTAAATGTTATTAAGTAATATGTTGGTGAAAACTGAACTTAGCATTTCTTTTCTGCCTCCAATTATATTCATCATTTTGGAAGCAAAATGCCCAGACTTATGGTATATGAATGGCGTTGTCAATGTAACTGTTTGTATAAGTGTGCATAATAGACTTGGTTTAAAGTATTTGCAGAGATCCAATGCTTGAGATTTTTATGGGTGTATGGATTTTTTGTGACAGTTTTATGGATTTGGATATACTGAGCAGTGAAGATAAAAATTTGTTTGCTTGCCTTTCCTGTTATAGTTTTAAACCTGATTTTAAAAAAAATCATAAATTCATAGCTAAAGTGAGTAGCCCACCTGATATTTGTTAATCATAGTAAAAGAAGACAACCCACTAAATATTTATCTCTTGTCATGTGCTTGCCCCCCTTTTTTATGGTTTCCACACATGATAGAGATTATTTAGCTTCCAGAAAAGATCTTTCTTCATAGTGGGAACACAGAACACATTTTTTCTCTCCTTCAGTTTTGTGTTGATGATGCCATAGTCAATAATTCTTTGTATCTGACAGTTTAAATTATTTCTTTAGAAATGCTAAAACAAGTATACATCTATCTGCACCACTCAGATAAATAACAAGTGTTTGAAAAGTGATATGGTAGTAATTTGTTAAATTAAATTCAGTTTATTTATTTCACAGTGCAGTGACTATCCACTATATACATGATGGGTTTATACCCATCTGTAAGTGAATTAGGGGAGGGCCATACAGATCCTTAATAAGCTTATGAAGAAAGAAGAGCGCAAATACTCATAATACAGAGTGTTGTAGGATGAGGTCATAAAAAGCAAAAAAGCAAAATGTGGGGATACTGATGGGTGATTTCCTGGAGAGGTAGCCTCTGATTATATTCCCACATCCTCTGCTGCCTGTCAGAAATGCCTTCTAAAGTAGAGGGAGGTTCTCTGCATCTTTCCTCTTCTTGGCACCAATACACACACTCTGTAGGGTTCAGTTCTTTCTAAATCCTTGGATGGTTTGCAGCATTTTGAACTTCTGGGGGACACAGTCCATTAAATCCAACAGCACATAACACAGATTTTTAAATACATCTCTTCATGCTTTTCCTCCTTCAGAAAGACTGATTTTGGAGATAAAGTCACCAGGTGTTCAATTTGAACTAGATTGTCTGGTATTGAAGTAGCATTTAGGTGGTGGTTAATTCATTGTAATCATATTATGATAGTGTAGCATGAGATTTCTCATGTGCTCTGCAGGCATGCCCAGTGCACACTTAAGCCACCTTACTTTCTAGATGTGAGCTGGTGATGCATAATGGCCAGTAAGTGCATGCTAGGAATCTGGTTGGGTCTGCATTAAACAGCATTTCCTCATTTCCAAATGATCAAGTAAGTATCCTGTGACTGCCCTATGTGAATGCTTATTTTCATTTCACAAATACAAGTTCTACAAATTGAGGCTATTAGTTAGATTTTCATGTGCACTTCTTTTTAAAAATGTTTTATTGACATATAACATTATATCAGTTTCAGGTGTACATTATAATGATTTAATATGTGTATCTATTGTGAAATGGACACCACAATAATTCCAGTTAAGACCTGCCACCATATTAGGCCTCCCTGGTGGCACAACAGTTAGCGCTGGGTTGCAAAGCTGCCCACAGCCTCTGCAGCACCAGTTCGATCCCCAGCCACTGGGTGAGGGTCCCACATGGCGCGCAGACATCTCCTGCTGCCCGCTGCTCCCCTCAGCAGTGTACTTCATCCATCTGCTTGTTCTGCTCCCCACTCTGGCTTTGGTGAATTCTCTCACCCTCCCACGCTTCTGACTATACTCAGTGCTTGTATAAATAAATAAATAAATCTTTAAAAAAAAATCTGCCACCATATATAGTTACATAATTTTTCTTCTTGTGAAAAGAACCTCTGCAACCTTTGCAAAGATCTCTCTTTGCAACTTTCAAATATGTAGTACAATATTGTGACAGTCACCATGCTGCACTTTGCCATGCTGCACTTTACATCCAATAACTATTTACTTTATTATTTTGCCACCAGAGAGTTGTTCATTTTGACCCCCTTCACCCTTTTCATCCATTCTCTACTTCTCACAACCATTATTTTCTTATCCATAACTGTGAACTTGGTTCTTTTTTTCTTTTTTTCTCTTCACATTCCACATATAAGTGAGACCATCTAGCATTTATATGTTCCTGCCTGACTTCTTTCACTTAGTATAATACCCTTAAGGTCCATTTATGATGTCCCAAATGAGGAGATTTCCATTTTTGTTATGACTAAAAAGTACTCCATTATATGCATGCACCATAATTCCTTTATCCGTTCATTCATCCATTGCTGGCCACCTAGGTTGTTTTCTGAACTTAGTTATTATAAATATGAGATATGACTTGGTCTCTATCTCTAGGCTGGCCAGCTCGTGGGTAGGCTATGCTGCGATTTCCTGTTTGTTTATGGGTATGGAATTTCTATGCCTATCTATTTTGACCTGAAAGAAAACCTGCATTTGACTCAGTTTGAAAAATACAGGGAAACATGGTGTTATAATTGTTCTGCTGTCATGCTCCTGGCTCCTTCTGTCCAGCCCTCATGCCCCAGGGTGCTGAGCAGCTGGCTTTACAGCTGTGAAGAGGGTCCAGGACAATCTCCCTGTGGGGCAGACATAAATCTTGCCAAAAGAGAAAAAAAGAGAAGTTTTGAGTTTTTTTTTTTGCTTTATTTTTCCATTTTCAGATTCTTGCTAGAATTGTAGGGAAAAACTGTAATTACTATGTTTTTATTCCTTCTCCACTAATTTATGTTCTTTGTCCCTCTTTCAAGTTTCAGAATGAGACACTTTTGCATTTTTAAAATAATAATCATTCCAATAAACCTTTTTTCCTTCACCTTCCTTAGAATGGGAACTATAAAATTGGTTTCTTTTTCTCCCATGAAAGATTGAATCCAATAAAATGTGCCAGAAATGCTGTAGCACTCCCCACCAACAGATAGTTGGCTGCCCTTAGCAGCTGGATCAGGGCACTTTGGCAAGATGATGCTAGCTTCCATCTCCTTGATACAGCACCTGTCCTCTTATTCTTGGACCTGCTCACACAGTCCTCACTCCGGGATTAGAAGGGAATTCCAAAATCTACCCTAATTCCTATAGTAATGGTGTATAACTTGAATCTACCATCACATATGACGTTAGCACATACTTAGGAAAGAGTAAATACAGTTCAAAATTAGGCAAATGTGCCACATTATTAATTGTCTAATTCCCAAAGTTACATAAGTGGAATTCTTTGTAAATGACCTTTTTCCAGACAAGAAGATAATCCAGTTCAATACTCATTGAACTTTATGTGCCTGCATTATTCATACTGATTCTTTATTGCCAAACTGAGTCTAATATAGAGGAATCCATCCATTGGATTAGAATCCATCCATTGGTAATTAGATCTTAAAGGAGAAATAGTGACAATATTGGGGGTTCCAAGAGATGGCAAGGTTCATCCTGCATATAATTATTTTTTCTGAGTTGGAGTTGTTATGTACCATTGTGTGGAGATAAATGCAAATACAGGTATGGCTGATGATCTAATGTCATTATTCTGCTCTGCCAGATGTGTAGTAGAAGACAAGAACTCGAAGGTGGCCTGGTTGAACCGTTCTGGCATCATTTTTGCGGGGCATGACAAGTGGTCTCTGGACCCCCGGGTTGAGCTGGAGAAACGCCATTCTCTGGAATACAGCCTCCGAATCCAGAAGGTGGATGTCTATGATGAGGGTTCTTACACTTGTTCGGTGCAGACCCAGCATGAGCCCAAGACCTCCCAAGTTTACTTGATCGTGCAAGGTAAGAAATGGGTGGGTAAAGGGAAAAGGAAAGAATAGGTAGGGAAAATCAGAGGATATACAAAATACTTGCATAATCCTTTTGGGGTAAAATACTTCCTAATGCATTATTGCACTTAGGTATCATTTTGTACTTTAAAATGACAGGCTTAAAGTGAGAGGACTAAAAAGAATATGGAGAGAACAATCCTGCCACTATTGATGACTACCCTTAATAAGAAGGTTTTCTTTCAATCCCAAATGCAAATATATACAACAAAGTCCACAGCTATTGGGATAAGTTGAAACAGGGATGCAAGAACACACAGAATGCTTAGAACCATGTAAATTCCACTTCATCAATGTGTTAGGTATTGGATGCTTTGCTGAAGGCTTGATTTTTATCTGTCTTCAGTGTGAAGACTATCACTAATTATCTGTTTTTATGGTAGTAAATGTTTGGAAAAATTAAAATTTCCAGAGGTCTTGACATCTTCTCAGCTAGCCATATTTCTTTGTATCTCCATTTAATAGCAAGTTATTTGTGAACAAATCTAGTGACAAGGATCTGCAAAATCATTGGGGACAATCTGCTTCTAGATTGGGGTTTCCAAGGGCACATCTGAGTCATGGTTTTACAGAATGAAAAACCTAAATGGCATACACATGCCCCCAAACTATTGCTCTCTTGGGTCTCTTTCCCCATAATTGCAGAATGAGAACAAAGCTGATCAGCTGCACAATTTTATTGCAAGTGAAGTCAAACCACCAGCAGTTTCAATCCATCTATCAGGAAAGATCTAAGTACTAACAAATATTAAGGCTGTTTTCATGTATTCTTGATTTACGATTTTATGTAAATTTAATGCAAATCAGGCATGGCCCTAGGGCTTCTGTCAAGATTCCAAGGCAGTCAGTGGTGTGGCAAAGTTTGACTGTAGCTTCTATTAATGTGTTAGGGAATTGATTATTGCAGCATTTAAATTATTGCTCTCCCAACTCCTCTGATTAATAGATTGAAACTGGAGTAAAATACATCAGAGGAGCCTGGTGCAGGGGTGGTATAGTCATGTGACCTCTATCTTGGTCCATTTGCAATGGCTGACAGCTTCATTTTATGGCCTGTAAAAGGCATGTCTACTGACTTGCAAAGTTTGCATCATTGTCAAAGTGTAGAGTATTTTCCTTATAGATTACAAAAGAGTATTGAGACACCAGGACTTGGATTACAGGTAGCCCATTTAAATGTGTAAACATAATGAAAAGTGTGTAAATATGTAAATTGGTTAACTTATCAATTCCAACAAAACTCATACAATTACATACAATTTCATGCACACACATGCATGCACACATACATATCCCTCAGAACATAAAAAGCTCTACCTCATTTGTTGGCAAAAGGAGGGAAGATAACTTGTTTTCTTAAGACCCCTTGGAAAATATTTTATCTAATAAGCAATTCCACTTAGTATTATGAAAACTCTTTACAAATTTAGTACCTTTGCACCCTTTAGTGTCCTAGGAGATCACAAGTAGGAAATATGTATTGTACTATAATGAGAAAAACTGGGCAATCTGAGTATATCATTTCTTGGTACCTCAATGAAGAAACAGATATTCGTTAAATTTAGATTACTTGCTCAGGGTCACACAGAGTTGTCAGGGAGTAGTTTGGAGCCAAGTCGACTAGAATTCAAATTTGAAGTACTATCTAAAGATTGGAAAATTGTTGTATGACTTTAAGAACTGCCAGATTTATTTTTTTAAAGATTTATTTATTCGTGCATACAAGAGCTGGGGTACAGGCTAGAGATGCAGGGGATGAGAGGAGTCACCAGAGACAGAGTGGGGACCAGAATAGGCAGACTGACTAAAATACACTGCTGAGGGGAGCAGCGGGTGAGACAGGAAAGGTCTGCCTCACCATGTGGGTTTCTCCCTGGCTGGCCAGGGATCGAACTCGTGCTGCAGAGGCTGCAAATTGCTTCATAGTGTGCTGCTTAACCCTTTGAGCCACCAGGGAGGCCCAACTGCCAGATTAATATGTAGGTCTGAGCACTAAGCCACAAATAAGCAAAGCCCCTCCCCTTTTTCTTATTCATTTGTGTACTTTTTTTGGCTATAAACATGACCAACCTGAAAGGATCAGAGAACCTGGAGAGAGCAGGTTCTGCTCTCTCTGCACTGTCTGCACCTCTGTGCCACATGAGTGCAAGTGAAATTAACTTGAACTTTATTTAATATTGAGTTACTAAGCAGAAGTTAATATTAAGGGATGAAGAAGAACCTACTGTCATGAACTATTTATTCATTGTCTCATTTGATTCTAATAATAATATTATTAAGTAGGTGTTAATAGCTTTATTATAAATATGCAAAAACTTAAAGTTCAGAGACAAAAAGGAACATGCACAAGGCTCACTGTTTGGCTCAGAAATCAGACATAACTGTCTGAATAAAGATATTATTATATTTTCTTCTTTAAAATGTCGCTTTGAAAGAGATAAGAGAAACAAAACCTGTTCTGTTAGGGAGATGAAGCCCAAGATTGAGCCCAAGACAAAAAGGAGGGTTTAAAAAAATAAATATACACCTGTACATATGCATCTAATATACATGGCTGAACCACTTCCTCTTAAAACATTCAACTTTGTAATAATGTCAGGGTTTCTATCCCCTCATGCTGTTTGTTCACACAATTTCCTATTGTACGTCTCAAATCTGTATTTTTAACGCATCACAGATTTTGCAGACTTCTAGGTATGGATTGCATTCTTCCTTCCTCCAGCCCCACAATACCATCCTTCAGGATATTTTTTGAGCTTTACTAATTTTACTTGCTCACTTATTTTGGTTTTTGGAACTTCAACTTAAACTGTCATTAAATCAATATTTTATTCCTGTTCCTTCACAACGGAGAGGATATCCTTAGTTAAATGATCCTATCACTAAGAAATAGCAGTTAAGAAGGTGGACATTGCAGTCACCCTCCCTGAGTCCTTTTTGCTAGTTGAATTCTGTGGTAAACCACTTTTTCTTCTAAGGTTTAGAGCTCTTATATTTAAAATAGAAAGAAAATTAAATTTTAAATTCCCCTAAATTTATTAAGGATTATGTTAGATAATCTATGTAAATCACAAGCCTGATATCTAGAGATTTTGTACTTTGATGATGATGATGATGATAATGATAAAGATGAAGAAGAACACAAGCATCAGGTGCTGCTCCAGTATCCTCATAAGACTCACCTTTGTCCTGGGGTGCAGCTCAGAGTCTTATTACCTAACAGCGACCTCAGTTTCCCTCAGCCAATTAAAGAAAACTGTTTGAGGAAAAGAAAAGCAATTTAATTTGTTGACAAATGAGGAGGGCAGCAGACTCATGTCTGAAAGACAACCATACTGCTCTTTGGCAGAGTGCAGGAGTATTTATACAAAGGAAAAAAAGTGGGGGATATAGGCTAGGGTCTGCAAAAGGGAGAGGGAATGGGTCAGCAGAGACAGGTGGGCACCTGCTTTTCTTCAATAGCTGATGTTAAACTCCCTCTGGCTTGAAATGCAGGAGGACTTGTTAATGCTCATCTGAGAAGGCAGGCCACAAAGACAAACCTGTCAAACAAGGGGAAATTGCAGGAAATAGGGGAAAGACAAACTTGCTAAACTTGTTAATGCTTATCAAAGAGACCAGTCATTTGTAACTGCATCAGTCTAACTGCTGTTTCCACTCATTGCCTTTACCTTATGGCAGACTCTGCTAGCTTTTATTTGGGGATCTTCCAGCCCATATTTGTTAGCTGTCCTCTTCCTTAGCATCCAGTCTTTAGCTTTACTTCTTTAGGTTTCTAAAGTGTTTCTAAGACTAGCATCACCATTAAGTTCTCAGCTACATTTATTAAGGATATTTGAGGAGAAAACACAACATGCAACAGTGACACAGCAAGAGTCATTAAGTTCAATATAGGTGGGACCTCCCCAGAATTTCTGATTAAGTAGTTGTAGGGCAGGGACTGAGAATTTGCAGTTCTGTTTTGTAACAGTTTTGTTTTGCTGCTAGTGTGAGGCACACACTATGAGAACCCCTGCTTTAAAAGATTGTGTACCTTAAGACTGTGTGAGGGGGCCTCCCTTGTGGCTCAGCGGTTGAGTGCTGGGTTGCGAAGCTGCCCGCAGCCACTGCAGCACCGGTTCAATCCCCGGCCGCTCCCCGGCCACCGGAGGAGGGTCCCACATGGCCCGCAGACCTCTCCTGCTGCCCACTGCCCCCCTCAGCAGTGTACTTCGGTTCTTCTGCCTGCTCTGCTCCCTTCTCTGGCTCTGGTAAATTCTCTCACCCTCCCGCGCTTCTGACTGTACCCAGTGCATGTATAATTAAATAAATAAATCTTTAAAAAAAAAAAAAAAAAAAAAGACTGTATGAGGAAGTAGTTCTGCTAAATTCTTTTCAATTTCAGATTGTGCTACACCGCCTAGATATCTCTAATTCTACTCTTCCTTTTGATATTCATTTTCTTACATTGAGTTCATTTTTGTTGGTTTCTCACCTCAGATGTAGTCCCCACAAGTACATCACCTGTGAATCGTCACCATATTTTCATGTGACCTAGTGCAGTAGAAAGAAAATCTCTCTTCCCAAACTGATCACTTTTAGGTATCAATACTTTTAGGAAGGAAATGGTTGAGACTTCATAAATACTCTAGAGCTAAAAATCTCAACTTTACAGATTTTTAGATATTTGTATCACCTTCATATTTTTCACGCATGCCATTTCTCCTGGAAACTTTTTACTTTTATATAAAAATCTTCCAACCGTGTTAGTGATGTTTCAAAATCTCCATATTTTCATCTTTATTTTGGTGATTATTTTTCAAAACGGAATTGTTTATCAGTTCATGAAGGGTTGTTACATACAAAACATCCTGTGTTAAAATAAACATACTGCACGTGTCTTGAACTTTAACTGTGTTTGAATGCTCTCTCCCCACACCTTCCTTTTGAGGTCTACAGGCAACTGTGAATAAA